ATATATATAAAATTAAAAGATTTTTAAAATTTAAATTTAAATTTAAAAAGATTCAAAAAAATTTAAAATTAAAAGGGTAATAATGGAAATGATATCATCAAATCTTTTAAACACGATAATTATCTTTTAAACACTCATTATTATCATTATCTAGTAAAACGGTTACGAAATAAGTTAGGATTATACTAGGTGTGATAATCATGTGATATAGGTGTGATAATCATGTGATAGGGGTGTGATAATCACCATTATACATCACTTGTGTTATCGTTTTGGTTAACAAGTTAAAATTTTGGTGTAATCATGTGATAGGGGTGTGATAATCATGTGATATGAGTGTGATAGGGGTGTGATAATCACCATTATACATCACTTGGGTTAACGTTTTGGTTGATAAGTTAAAATGTTGGTGCCATCATGTGATTTGGGTGTGATAATCATGTGATAAGGGTGTGATAATCACTGTTATACATCACTTGAGTTATCGTTTTGGTTGACAARTTAAAATTTTGGTGTAATCATATAATATGGGTGTGATAATCATATGATATAAGTGTGATACTTATGTGATAGAGGTGTGATATGAAGAAAAGATGTTAACGAGAAGAAGAAGAAGATAACTACCAAGAGTAAAATGTGGAACGTGAAAAGATAATTATGGTTAATTAAAATAAAACAAAATTACAAAAATTACTTAATTACATTATTGTCCTTATTAAATTATTTATATATAATAAAAGTTAATTTATTAATTAAAAAAGTTTGAGGTTATTGGGTTGTTCTCGCATTCTCGTAAATCACAGGGGTTCTCGTTTGAACCTCCACCTATATATATATATATATATATATATATATATATATAATTAATTATCCACCGGAAATCCGCCGGTAAATTGTTGTAATTCGATTTAAATACAATATTAAAATAAGTAATTTTGAAATCCGCCGGAAATAGGCACCAGACATATTATCATAATAAATTTTCCGGCGGAAGTCAATATAAGATGACTTTTTTGTTGTCCTACGGAGATCCGCTGGTAATCCGCCGACGGATTCCGGCCCCCGGAAAATACACCGGAAATAATCATTATTCTAGTAGTGACTTGTCGTCAGCAGGTTTTTTGTTTTTATTGCCAAATAGGTTATTAATTTTCATTAATCAGGAAGAAGTTCATCATTTCGTAATGGGTCAACTTCAATTTTGAATATTTTTGTGATTATCCCAATAAATAATTTCTATCAATTTACAGTGTTCATTACTACGTCTAATAGTCATTAAGTGGTTCCTTCCTCTTTATATAAGAGCATATGCATCTTATGCACATATGCATCTTTAATTATTCATATAATTCCCTTTTGAAAAACAAAAGAAACCCCACACACCATCACACCCACAAAACACACACAGTAACAAGGTCATGGATCATGGAGCAAGATCAAGATTCAAAAGTGTGTGCGTTTTCTGTGGTAGCAGTGCTGGCAAAAGAGACTGCTACAAAGATGCTGCTCTTGATTTAGGCCAAGAACTGGTGAGTCGATCTTCTTCAATTCTTCACATACTTCAGCGTGCGCGCACAAGCACACACACATAAACCCTATGAAAACTAGCAAGTCGAACCCTTCTTCATGCGTATATAGAGCAGACGGTTAATGGGTTCGACTCCTAGCTTCCTGGAAGTCGAACCATGAACCGTCGGTGTTGAAATCCTATATCAACTATACGAACCATCAAAGTTGTATATAGGGTTTCACATATCCTAACAACTAATCGTAAAGAAACCTGATCGTTTCGAACCCTTTTTAAGTTGACTGCGTGTACGCAAGAAAGTTGAAATTTTTGATCTTTTAGAGCGTTTTTGGTGACGAATCCCGACAACCTTTTTGGGATATCGTATCGTAATCGACACGGATGTATGTTTTGAAGGTGGCAAGAAAACTGGATCTTGTTTATGGTGGAGGGAGTGTTGGATTAATGGGACTGGTTTCTAAGCAAGTTTACAATGGTGGTGGCCATGTTTTAGGGTAATTAATTAACTTGCTCTTTCTATATTTGGAAATTCTTGTTTTATTTAATCTTTTTATTGATTTAAATATTTTGTTTTTTTTTTATAATTTATTTCTACAGAATTATTCCCAAAACTCTCATGTGCAAAGAAGTACGTATAAAATCAATATATTTCTGTTCTTGAATCATTTTATTTAATAATTTTTAATAGTTTTTATTAATAATATTTAATAAATAAATAAATAAATTAAAATGGAGGTTTGCAGATAACTGGTGAAACCGTAGGTGAAGTTAAAGCAGTAGCTAACATGCATCAAAGGAAAGCAGAGATGGCACGACATTCTGATTGTTTCATTGCCCTTCCAGGTCCACCCCACCCCCTCATTGTAGTATACATATATATATATATATATATA